ACTCACGCACTTCGTACACACCACGTCCACCATTCCAACCCATATGTGACTCCACCGTACACACCGCCATCGCAGCATACACCCCCACCCCAGGCATCCACCTCACAGCCGGAGTTTCCACCTCCGCCACCGCCACCCCTGCCAACGGCCGAACCCGTTACTCCACCACCATCGACTTTCCAACACAGCCCACCGCCACCACCCACCACACGTGGCAACACAGCGCCTGCCCCACCGCCCCCACACATCCCATCTCCCACACCACCTGTCCCCGACTCCTGGAACCCAACCGAGCAACATTGGGACTCCAACACCCTGCACGGCCACCAACTACATCGTACAATCCAACCCACCCAGTGGTCTCGAAAAGCAGGAGTGGCCGGACTCCCCACCTTTGAGGTTTTCCCGTGGCAATTGGCTTACCACGGTACCTCCGAGTTCACCGCCCGTACCCTGAGCAACGGCAAATTCACAGGTTTCATTGCCACCAGAAGCATAGCGGAGTCAGTCTTCGTGACCCATTTTCTCCAACAACTCCGCGAGAACCGCCTTGACCTTGACGGCATCGCGGAGGCTCTCCACACCCAACAGAGCACAGACATTCCCAACAAAACTACCCATGCCCGAGCGTTTCACGCTCCCCTCATCAAACTGCTTATCGACCAACTGCAAACCCACTCTCCAGCACCTGCGGAAGGCTCCGCTCTACGCGCCCTCAAAAACACCAACGACGAACTGGCTCGTGCACGTCAGAAACTCCAAGACCTGGGCAACCCACTCACACCAGTCAAGAACACCAGCCGATCTTCCGCACCAGCCGCCCCTTCTCACGCACCCACGCCACCACCACCGAAACCACCAGCCATCACCGACGTCTTGCAACCACCACACCCCACGCTGCAAGACGATATCCCCGAAGGCTGGAACCACCCAGAGATCCAACAATGGGTCACTACCTTCGACCCCACCATCCAAGAAGCTGCGACGGAAGTCATCCGACTGCTGCAAACAAGCAAAGTCACCACGCAGCAGCTAAAAGAAGCAGCCACCAAGTATGGCCTACCCCTCAACCGGGTCAACCGACTCCCCATTCGCAGCCTACAACAGCTGGTGGGAGTCGGAGCAGCCATCGGTTGCTGACTCGCCATCCTGGCTCAGCAGCAACCCAGCCACACCAACCTCACCCAACTCTTCCACCTGCACCGAGCACTTTCCATGCTCATCCACCGCACCCAATACATCGACCGCGCCGAGGCCATCTTTGCAACCGGCCTCATCCACATCACCCTCCTTTTCGCATACCCATCCAACACCCGTCGCTCACAACAATGGCGCAACCGTCTCCGCCAGCTCCACATTTTACCCCACACCTACCACTACCACAACTTCCTCTCTTCCAATTCCGTCTACATCAAGCTCCACTTCAATCCCGACCAGCCCCAACGCTGCTACCATCAACATGGCCACTTCTACGTTGGCTCCACAGCTATCGGCATCCCCCACCGCGAGCACAATCGCCGCGCCAAACTAAAACAACTTCAAAATAACATTCCCATTTCTGCAGAACTCTCCTTACGTTATTGGCATTCACACAACAACATCCACCACTACACCACTATTCAACTCACCTCCCATGACACATACGACCAAGCCTGGATCCAAGAGCACCACTACATCGCCAACTGGATGCCTTCACTCAACTGGCCTTTCATTTCCCACCACCTCAAACTCAAAGCTCAGGGATGGCAGTTCGCGAAACACAGAGCCCACTTCTACTCCAGATTAGCCACCCACAAACGACTTTTCCGACGCCTTCGACAACGCCAGTACACCCTCAGAGAACCACACCTCTACACTTCCACTAAGCATCACGCCCTCCAACTTCTTCGCAACCTTACCAAACACACCGCAGCCTCCTTTGAGGCAGCTAAACAGCTAAGAAGCGGCCGCCACACGGACCTCGAGGTGTATGCAATCCGGCGTATGGCCGCAAACTTGGAAGAACCTGGCCGCAGCCGAGCTCTTCACATCCTCAACAAAGCCTTGATCTACTGCAACCTCACGCCACCAAAACCAAACATCCCATTGACAGTGCCCTTCTTGGCCCATGACGACTTTACCAAGCACTGCCAACAATGGCTTCGTACTACCATCCAGCAGCACAAGCATTTCACCATTCCCCTCCACCTCCCCTCACACAGACTGAGAGAAGCCGCCCACAAAACCCTCCGCTCCCACCTGCACAACCATCGCACATGGGAGGACACCCTCCGCTCCCCGCCAGATCCAGCAGACCTCCCCTGTGCATGCGATCACCTTCGCACCCTCCTGCAGGATCCCGATACCCCTACCATCAACGGCCACTACATCCTTACACTTGACCAAGTCCAACTCCCTACACACCTCAGCATTTTTCTCAACGCCAATATGAACAGCACCTATTACCCAAGCAAAGCTCGGTACTTCCTCATTTTCAAGACGGCCTACACCAAATGGCTCAAACTACAAGGGCTTCCACCATCCCTAGTTCAACACCTACAGCCTTTCCTTGAGCACCAATGGCGCCTTCACAACACACACCTAAAGCAGCAACCCCGTTTTACGGCCCGCCTGCTTCGTCAACTCCAAGAACATTTGGGTAAACACACATTACTCCACCATGCCGATCATGAGCTCCAACAACTCCGACTGTTCTGCCCTCGCCAATACTTCACTGGCGCCTTGAACACCTGGCAATCCCCCGAACTATTTGAACCACTTCCCTACATCACTGCCGCCAACATCCATGACCACCTGGCCGCCACTGTCCCCCCCATCCTGCGCACCCGCTACAAGTGGGGTTTCCGAAAAGACTTCAACATCCCCTACGGTGTTGTCCACCTCAAAGAGAAGAAGCACTGGCAAAAAGGCCGTACAATTATATCCTACTTCCAATCACTAAGCGGCAACTTGCTACGCATCACCAGCCGTGCCCTGGACATTATCCTCCAACACCTCTACCCTCAGCATCCAGGCCAAATGTCCATTCCTCAGCTTTGGCACCACTTTCACAGTTACCTCACCCAAACCCCACTCGACATCTCACTGCACGCCACCAACGATGACCTGGTCGGCTTTTTCAACTCCGTCCCCCAGCACCGACTCATCGATGCAGTCCACTCCCTTGTCCTCCATTGGCAACAACAGCAATCCACACACACCTTAACGGTGGATGTCCAGGCCACCGGCAACCCTTTCCACCACTCCCACATTGGCAGACACCATCGCAAACACCCTATCCAGACTTCCGACATCACCACCATTGTGGCTTTTGCCCTCAACACATGCATTTTCCGGGCTTGCAACAACACTTACAAACAAATCCGAGGGGCCGGGATTGGATCCCAGCTCTCTCCAGCCCTATGCAACGTTGCTATCACCCTCATTGAGCACTCCTGGCATCAGATACACAACAACCTCCTTCAACACACGGACCTCCACTTTACTTACTATCGCTATGTTGACAACCGTTTCATTGTCCACAACGAACATTTCCTTCAGCACCCGGCTATCCAAACCCTTATCCACCACAATTTCTTTGGCGACCCTGTGGAACTAGAACCGGTGGAGGATTTTCATCTCCTCGGCTTCAACATCGACCTCCCACAACGCACTATCACCTACATGCAACCTTCTCAACCCTGGAAAATCCGGGATTCCACAACCGCCGGGAGCCAGCGCTTGGCTCTATCAGGCCTCCAATCACGACTCCACACCATTCGAAAATACACATTTCCACCCTCCAGCGCTGACGCTGCTGCGGCCGAACTCGTGAACCTATATGTCCAAAAGGGGCATAACTACCACGCCTGCCACCGGTTTTTGAAAAAAGCGCCGAATGCGGCGACCTGTGTGTGTCCAACCCTGGACAAAGGGTCTTCCACCACCACTCTTTCCACTTTACATGGGCAGGGGGCCAGCGGCCGACAAGCAAACGCTGGCTAACAAAGCTATGCTTGTCGGTGGATGCACAGTCTGATCAACTGTGTGTACCTGCGACCAACTTTTGCACAAGCTGTCCAATCTGATCGGTTTGCTTTCATGGTCCTTCATGCTACCACCCCAAAACAGGTTTCTTTCAGCAGCTGAGCCGCCGATCGTCCGCAGATGTGCAGCGTTTGTTCAGCAGAGCGAGGGAAACTATGTTAAACAATTCAAGTGATCTGACCCAATCACCATGCCGTTCCACCGCCATCCTTCCCATCGGGAAATTGAGCTAACTGAATACAAATTGTCGAAGTGTGAGCTGATGAAATAATTGTGTTGCGTGTGTGTGAATGTGAGATGTGAGATGACAAGATGAGTGTGTGTGTGTGAGATGATGAGATGATTGTGTGTGGTAACAGAAGGACGGAGGGAAGGAGGGAGGGGAGGGAGGGAGGGACGGACGGCGGGAAGGACGGAGTCGGGCGGGATGGCAGCCAAAAAACTAGAACCCCACACAGAGATGTGGGGAACAACAGCAAATTATACCAGCGTGTGGCAGCATGTGCCGCCATTTTCTTTGGGAAGGGGGGAGTTAGAGGACTCTTACAAACATTCAGAGGTTCCCTTGCAAAGCATCGTGTTCATGGACATGAGAATGGATGGGCACCCTGCACATGCTGAGAGAGAGAGAGAGAGACAGAGACAAAAAAGGGTGCCCTGGACATACAGTAACCGCTATGGGTTAATGAACGTGCAAACTTTACAGTAGTATATGGACTGTCCACATCACTTCAAGACAAATCTTTAACTATGAATTTTCCAAGGAGGTTCCGACGAGAGGGGGCCATGCACAAAAAAGCATGTCTATTAATTACAACACATGTCATGTTTGTCCAACATCCTGGCTGTTCGACCATTGCTCAATTTCAACAATGCTCGAACACCTACTATATAAAGCTCAAACACATCAAACGGAATGGCGTGTTTTCTTCGCATGGCGCTGCGCTGCGCTCGTCTTAACCCACGTGTTTCTCCTTTTGCCGGAAAAATGCCGTGCCATAGGTGGCCAGCAGGATCGTGGGTGCCGGCAGAAGCTCTTCCCCTTCAAAGGATGGGCGAATGCAGCTCGTCCAAAGCACATGCTCCATCAACCTTCGACAGGTGTATGATGGGAGAAGTGAGGCTCGTTGGAATTCACACGGGCGACATGGGCCTAGCTCCGTTTTGGTTTGGGTGCCAGGAGTATCTGTGGCCACCTTCTAAGGATCATGCCCGAGGGATTATAAGCCATGCACTCTGATGGGACTGGGAACATATAAATGCCCCATTCAACCACCCCCATCGATGGAGTGTTTGGTACAGACTAACTTCACCTGCACATCCTCTCTTTTTTGATGTGTTCAATAAAGGGACTGTTGCGTATTCGGAGCAGTGTCTGAGCAGCTTGGTTTGGTGTTTGTGGTAATCATTTAGGGGGTGTCCACATACATGTCTGTCTGTGGCTTGAACACGGTAGACTCAGTAGACCTTCCAATCCACAGGTGTATGATGTGTCTGCGTTTCCTTTTGATCTCCCATAGTGTGTTAAACCACGACGGAAACAACAACATGAACATTGGTGGCCGAGGCGGCCAAGGCTCACCCCCCCTCAGGGAACAAAACAACTCCTGGATCGGCAAAAGGCTTCTGAATTTCCTAAGCAGTCTCGCTATGACAACTGTTCACCGTATTGTACAACGGACCACGGCGACCCGACAATCCACATGCACATCACTTTGAACTATCTATCTTCAGTACAACCTTAGAAAGAAACCTTTGACGGCGACGGACATTTTCACCTAACCCCAAATCAGGATCTCTTCATATCCCTCCTCTCTCTGCTTCTTCCCTGGACGCCTCTTCGTCTCATAGCGCCCGAAATAGACTCTGCGCCGGGCACGTCCATACAGGGACAGAATGTAGAAACCTTCCACTGGAGCCTCTCTGAGGCATGCACGCGGCAGAAACCGTGGCGTTGTCTGCAACAACAAATGCCACAAACAACCCAGACGCTCATGGACCCTCCTAAGTAGGGCCGGACCCTCATATGGAGGGTCCGGACCCTCAAATCTCTAGGGTTTTGAGGGACTCATCATTCAAGTGGGCAATCGCTTTAACCACCGTCTTCCTCATCCGGACTCCAGCACCCACCATGGTCACCACGTTCTGCTTCACAATGCACAATAATTCACGCATATGCACACTCCAGCGGAAAATTTGATCTGAAGTACCAACAAAGGGACCATGGAGCAATGACTTTTCTGACCGAAATCTCCCAAAACCTGGATGCTCAAACCCTCCACCCTCTCACCCGCGCAAAGCAGCGCAAAGCAGGTGTCGATGTTGAGTCCAAGGGATTATCAAACCACATGAGGCACCTGATGAAACACAGGTAGAACTGACAACGGAAAACAAGGGTCAAAATCAAACAGGCATGGTAAACCCCCACTGGGATAGAATCATGCCAAACCAACCGTTAGTCACCGTCTAGTTGACATGTCTTTCTTCCACACCTTCAACCCATCAAAACTACCTGACTTCGTCCGGCGTCGTGAATCCGCGTGCGGCGTCAGCGTCCGGCGTCGTTAATCCACCGGAGAGGAAACAAACAACGGCAACACCACGTGCCACTGAAACGACCTGGAATTTCATGGGACGGCACAAGCATCTCGTCCATGTCAGCAAAACGTGAGGCAGGTGGAATCACCCCTTTCTGACATTCCATGCCATCCCCAAACACGACACATGGGACGACGCATCATGTATATTACATTGAAGTGCTTGAGCATGGTGACAGTTGGCACATCTGCCAGCCTAAAAATGGTTGTGTCTGGGATTCTTGCCGAGTCACCCAGGGGTCTGGGCATGGCACTCGCTGCTTCCAGTACCTGGCGAAGTGCTCCACCTGAGCACGTGGGGACCGTCGAACCCCAAACGGTGCCACTGAAAACTGACTCTGCCATGGAGTGGGGCGTTGGTGTCGTACGGAGAGGGATGCTCTGCTGCTCCAAAAAACGTTTTAGTTTAGGACACCTTCACCGCTACCCCCGCTGGTTCATCAACACTTTCCACTTCTGGTGGAATTGGTCGGCCAACCACAGGTGATGGATTTGAGATTGAGAATCCAAAATGGCAGCTGGAGAGACTGATACCCAACTCATAGGTTGTCGTTTTGACAAAACAGCATGCTATAAAATCTAAAAAATATTAACACGTATAATGCGCCCGGTGGATCTATAAAAGATTCCTGTTCCCAGCAATTCCCAGTAATGATTGAGAAACAAAAAAGGCACTGCCCTGCACGATCACAAAAGCTCCCGATGCTATTGATTCTCCAAACCTGCAGTGAAACAACGGTGAGAACAAACGTGAAAACTAAAAGTTTGCTTTCAACAAAAGCTGCCTGCAAGAAAAGCACCAAGGTATGAAAGAACAAACCCTAATCTTTCTCAACCGCAAGGTGCAAGAAAGAGTTCTGGGTGTCGAACTCTTTCCTTTTTCCACCAAAGGCTCGTTCCGTTCGGCCGGTGACCCGCCCTCCCCTCCGGTCCTAACCTCCGCCATGGAGGGCAGGCCCTGTAGGAGCTGCTCTTCGTCCACTCCCGGCTCATGGAGCCGGAAGCGACCGCTGCCCAGTGCAGTCAGCTGCCGCCCGCGGAGCCGGAGCCCGCGGCTGAGCCCGACCTGAGCAGCGGAAAGTATTTGCCAGAAGGGGAATCACCATCAGGGCCAATGAAGACACACAATAATATATTTATATATACATACTAAAATCCCAATCCTAAAACCAGACAGGTTGACCTGCATCACCAACTCTGAACCCCCAACATCCGTGCATGCCCGGCTGAACAAGTAGCCTTGACTTCGCCCTCGCTTGAAATAAACAGGCAGCTTCGGCAAATTGATTTCATCCCCACAAGTGAAAAGGGCATTGGTTGAGATCTTGCACAGTGAAGTTCAAGGTTGATCTCCCATATCTTCACACATGCGACATGATGGATGAAGCGTAGCTCACCTCCAGGATAGATCAAAAGGTGGTCAACACATGTCTGACATGTAAAAAGAATGGCCACAACTTTTGCACCACGACATTGTTTTGTTGAGGTGGGGGAGTGCTACACCAAACGGGGCACATGATTTCCAGCCCAGTGGCTTTGGATCTTCCAAGGCATCGATACATCTTCGGATGCACGCGCGAGAAAAACCGAACGCCCTCAACACAACTGGACATGACGCGAATTCCTGAAACCAGCGAGCTGAACTGATCGGTCAATGCTGCAGTGGACATGTTTGGGAGTGATCTATGGGAAGAACGAATGGGTAGTTCTCGATCCGCCCAAGTGGACGGCGTGCTTGACACATCGGTGCCTTGGAAAGCGGTTTCGAATGCATCAGAATGTTGAATTCAACATGGAAAACCATCGAACACCATTGAAGAACCAGTGATTCGGTGCCCAAAGACCAAGCGGAAAAGAACTCTCTTTGACACATGCTAGCTGCTAGGCTGGGCCGAACTCCACCTCCTTTGGGCACCTTTCAAGCTTGGGTCGGATTCCCGCCTTGGGTCCATAAAAACCAACCCATCATCGAGCAAAAACTCATCCTACAAGCAAGTTATGCATCCTAGGTGTTTTGTTGAGCAAAGGGGTTTATTTTGCGCATATATATCCTACACACTATACGGTATATCCAATTGCCAGGTTTCAATGCATGATGGTCGATGGTTAGGCAGCAGCCCTTTCTCTAATTATTCACCGACGACTCTGCAGGTTTACTGAAGGTTTATTCCCCTAAGAATCCGAGTCCGGGCTCTCCATGGGGGTCGGGGTCGGACCTTCTCCACCGTTTCACGCAGGGGGAAGGTCCGGGCCCGAACCGATCTGTTGCTGAAGGGGCCCGGATTCTTTGAGATCTTGAGCGATCAGTGCCGTGATTCCAATCGTCCTTGAGCCAACCAATCAGGTTTACTGAAGGTTTATTCATGGTATTCCACTCAGGAGTCCTTGAGCCCCTTGAGTCCTTGCGTGCCAATCCCTGTCTTCTGTTTGCTGTGACCAGTGCCGTATTGCTGTGAGCCTAGCCGTCTAGCCTCGCCTGTGTCGCCGAGGTCGGTCGACTTCGAACCGTTTGAGAAATGTCTTCGAATCCCCAGTGATGGAACTTGCTTCACTCAGCTCAAAGCAATGGAGGGGTCTTGAAATTCAGAAAAATATGGTTTGGCTGCTGCCCAACTCCTCGCCATTTTTAAGAACAAATACACCGGGTTTCTATGTCCAGTGTCCTAAGTGGATCGAAATGTATGGAGTGGATTTAAAAACAACACAACACGACCTCCACCTCAAGGCTGCGACGTCTGGTCTGGCCAACGCTTGTGTATGAACCTGCCCCATGGCGCGGCATGGCGCGGTGTGGCGGCGCGGGCAAGCGGTTGCCTGGACCCTCCCAAGGTGCCCTGAAACAAACGGTAACCGTAACCCATTCAATCATCTGAGAGCCATGGAGTCTTAGACAGGTCACATGATATCATGATACTACCAGCTGCTTCCGTTCGGGGTTACCTGGCTGGACAACCCTACACTGCTTATAGGTCACCATTGGACACCCAAACAGGAAGCGTTAGGTAGATTAAATCTTATTATGAAATTGCTCAAAAAGAGCCCCGAGGTCATCACCAAACTCTGATGTCTGGCTCCATACTTTGTCCCCCTTCCACTGCCGCTGTCCTTTCTTCAACCCGCATCCATGTATGGAATTGTATATACAAGGTTATATTATACACTTGCCATCACTTACCCCATTTATGGCCCTAATGCAGGTAACTGTTCCATCCATGGATGGTCTGGGTTTCTCCAACCCCATGAAACCAAAACCCATCCAAACCTGACCCCTCCGTCTTAAACGAGAAAAGAAACGACGACCGGACGCCGACCGGACCGGGGCCTTGGCCAACTGAGGGTCAGCCTTCAAGGTCACAGCTTGTCCTTCCACCTCGTTGCGACGCAGAACGACGCGATTCTCGGAGTTGGTTCGGGGTATCTGAGCTTGGACTCTGGACTGCCGCTATGACACCAAGGAATCTGGAAAAAGAAAGGAACCAACGAATCCAACTGATGGGTAGCCTGGGTAGCCCTTGACCTTGCTGTTGGAAGCGTTTTGCTATGGTTTCGCTGCTTTGGCTCTACTCTACGGACTCACCGGAAGCCGCCGTGCCTTGGCCTCATCACCTGCCCCTCAGCGGCGCGGAAGCGCGGAAGACGAAGCGCCCAGACTGTGGGAGCTGGGTTCTGCAGTCATGTAGATCTCTTAGATGAATGAAGCGCCCCCAAAACATCTATATAGTGTGGGGTAGTCCATTGGCCCCCCTTTGGAGGGTCCAGGTATATACTGTATATTAACATATTAATTGCCAAACATGAAGCCTCTTCATATGGGGAGTTGAAATAGAATCCAGGTCTGCAGTAACGGGAACCAGGTATGGGAACCAATGTGAGCCCATCACCACCTCAGCACTGATGTTTTGTGCGAGCGACTTTCCATGTCAGTCCTGAAGGGTAGAACATATAGCACAAAACCATCACTCATGCACCAACAGAGGTTGGAGGACCCTATACTATAGACATCTATAGACTATCCCATTTCAGGTCACTAAATCTATCTTGGGTTGCATGTTCAGCCCAGGCCCCAGATTCTCCAATTCCGCGCTTCGATCGGTCCAACACTCTGAGAATCCCTTTTGAAAAGCGCTTTTTGTTTCATCTTTTTTCTGTCAGCAGCTGGAGTGGTGCGACTTCATGATTCCCTTTGGATTCAAAGAACCCTTGACGGAAGAACCATGGTTGAAACGGAGTCTACACAGCAAAACCAGGTCAACCCATTTTTAAGCATGCATGCTGGGATGGCTATAGGGATGGCCTAGAAGGGGGGTGCATGAATGCTCCGCCGAGGACCAACACATTGAGTGCCGATTCCCCTCTTTCAATCCATCCTCGGTGGTGTTGGCTTTCGCTTCTTCCTCCGCTGGTGTTCGGACGATCTGGTCCTTTGATGCTGGTGTAGTCCATGCCTCGGCCCGGTGGGCGGCCGGTTCGCTCGGTGCTGAAGCCGGAGTTCTCCGATGTGAAGAAGTCGACAGGTGAGAGTGGGCGAGAGAAGGGTGAGAGTGGGCACCGCAGGGGAGTGGCCAAGGAAGGATGAAAAGCTGACATGAATTCATAGCAATTCCATGTCAAATCAAGCATGATCAAGCAATGCTAGCATGCTTTCACTTCAACTTCTACAAAATGGTAGGGAATCAACAAAAGCGTCACAAACCGTTTGAAGGCCACCTTCTTTTCATCCCAACCCGACAGGTTGTGACATCGCCCAGCGGCAACGGGGAATGCCGTGAGCGTACAGCCTGGCAGGAAGACACATACGTCGAGCCGGTTCCGGAGGAACTCTTCGCTACATTGCAGCAAACCAAGAGAGGTATCCAGTGACCTGAACGTTCGGACCCGGAAAACCTGGGGTACCTATATGGGATAGTCGAGTTCGGGTCGGGTCCACCAACCTCTGTTGGAAGTTTGTCCCAAGAAGTTGCATAAAATCCTCTCCGAAGAATTGATGACGCGTATATATACGCATATATGCATATGGATTCATCATTAGACAATGTCACTAGTGGCCCCGGTATTCAAGGCCCTTGGCTCAATCCAAGGTCGCATAGATTGAGCCCAGAGTTCCCATGTGAAGTGAGGCATAGCTTGGTCTCCTACAAATGGGCCAGCAGCGAGAGCAGCAATGAACTGACAAAGGTTCACACTTGGGTTCCCACGGCAAAATCCATCATTCACTGATTGGTGACAAAATCCATCAAGATCCACTCTCTCTCTTACTGGTGATGGCCAATCTCCTTCAAACCTTCGCAAAAAACTTGTTGCGCTGCAACCCTCCAAACGACACCAGCCAAGCAGGACAGGGCTGACGGTGTGAAGGCTGCAGTCAAGGTGGTTTTCAACAGAAGCAAATCCTCGTGTGCATTTGATGCCGGGTCGCGAGTTGACTAAAACTGGTCTGAATCATCTGTGACAAAATGAACACCAAGCTCCCAAGTCCTTTTGCTGGCCAAATCCTTATGCATGCCCCATGTATGTCTCAAATATCCTGACATAGACCTATATATTTTTTCTTTGCAAAAATGTCGAAATGCCCTAATTATCCAGGTCTTGTAGGAAAACTGGATCTGATCTGGGCCCATCCTCGCAAAAAAGCTCCTCCGCTTTCAAGGCCTGTTCGTGCGCAACACCGCTGTGCAACGGCTGTGCCGCGAGGGTTTTTTCTCACAGCGATAGTTCCAGCAGAGGTGGGTCAGAACCGGAACTAGACTATCCTAGTTCGGTACCCCTGGTTTTCCGGGTCCGAACGTTCAGGTCAGTTATATAACCTCTCTTGGTTTGTTTTGGGGGTCAAAAGACCTTTCACCCTGGGCCGTGACCCGACCCCCCGGGCCCTGGCTTCGTCGGAGCTCTGAGGTCGGAGTGTGGGGCTCATGTCGATCTGGGTTCTGGGTGGCTCACATATAGGTAGACACTCCAGATTTACCAATGGGACTGGCAGTCCGGACTACCAATCAGGCCAGGGGTGGTGCCAGAGGGGTCAATGTAAGACCCTAGGGATCCAAGTACCTTCTCAGAATGTGATTGGAGACACTGTTATGGTACCTTCTGAGAGGGTGCTTGGATCCCTAGGGGGAATATATTCCAGTCCCATGGAGTGTCTGGGATAGACCTCCCAGGCGTGGTATCCCCTCGGTGGTTGGTGAGCTGCACTAGGGCCCGGTCACGTGGGTACCGAACTGGGATAGTGAACGTGTAGTCAATAGCCGTTAGGGACTCCTAATTGTAGGGTTCAACCTCTTTTGGCTTGTTGGGTAAGTATGTCCCATTTGGCTTCAGTGGATGGTTCAGTTGGCCTGGACCCAAATCGTGATTCTGGACAAACCCTTCGTCACACACGCGAAGCATGGTCCCTTCACGTCTGAAACAACCTACGAAGCCAACCCACGAAGCCAACCGGCGCCTGATGGGTCTCAGCTTTGGCTTTGTCCTCAGCTTTGTCGGCCGCGCCGTCATCGGCCAAAATCTGATTCGTTGGGAGAGTCTACCTGAAGCTATTAGGTTGGGGTTGTGAATTACACTTATAGCCAGCCGCTCATGCAGCTCTGAATGCCACATGCCAGAATCTGCCCTGGATGCCCTGAATACCACACTTTCTTTCCTCCACATGAATGGAACTGAATGGAAAAGGTCA